CTTGGATGGGTGACAACCACACAGGTGGAGTCTAGGCATGAGGAACACCTCAGAAGTTGAGCATGCTGGTCTATACTCAACTAGGCAGGCTCCCCTGGAGCACAGAAGGCAGCATTCCGTGGCTAGAGGATGATGATGAACCCGAGTACCATTCTCACCTGCAGGGTTCACCTCTTCAGTCAGTTCATTCTCCACCTCTAAATGAAGCTGAGTAATTTCTGCTTCCTACCAAAATTCCTAAGCTGATTTTGAACTTCCTAAATCAAAGCATGCTGCTGTTCAGGCTTCAGTGCTCAATGGGTCGATGAGAACAGCACATCACAAACCTATCTTTAGATTCAAAGGAGGGCTGGGGATATAGCTCAGTTGGTAGAGTGCTTGCCATGCATGCACAAGGCCGTGGGTTCAATCCCTAGCACCACACACACACAAAAAAAAGATTCAAGTGAATGGTGGCACATGCCTGTAAACCCACTCAGGAGACTGAGGCAGGAGGATCACAAGTTCAAAGCCAGCCTCAGAAACTTAGTGAGGCAAGTAGCAACTCAGCGAAGACTCTGCCTCTAAATAAAATATAAAAAAGGGTTGGGATGTAGCTCAGTGGTTAAGCAACCCTGGATTCAATCCCTGGTACCAAAAAAAAAAAAAAAAAAAAAATCCAAACAGGGCTGGAGCAGTGGCCATGCTTGTCACCCACCTGCTCGGGAGGCTGAGGCAGAAGGATTGCAAGTCTGAGGCGAGCTGGGCAACCTAGCAAGGCTCGGTCAAAAAAAAAAAAATTTCAAAAAGGGCTGCACTAGGACAAGATTATGAAGACTAAGACTTTCTCTTCAAAGCTCATTTTAGGTATGCATCTGATAGACCTACGAGAGGCATGGTCTGTCTCAGCACATAGACCTGCGCCTGCCATCCCAGCCCAAGATGCAGCGGTGCCTTGTTGCAAACCTCTACAGAGACCCCTGCACACCTGAATGCTGCTGGTGAAGGAGAGGGTTCCCACTAAGAGAGAGAGGCCTCGTTTCTTGCAGTGGTTGGAAGGAGAGAGATAAAGCCATGAATGAAACAAAACTGTCTCAAACAGAAGTCGATCTGAGTCCCATAAAAGCAGTGACGCTGTCCAACTTTTGTGCAAATTAAGACATTTTAAAAAACCCATCTTTCACACACACACTCATGGATCATTTGTGACCTGCAGGCAGCTGGAAAGACAGAGGTGTCAGCAAATCAGAGAGCCACAAGCAGACAGGGAAAGCAAGAAAAACTGGGCCCTTCTGGGGCACCTGAGCACACAGCTCTAGGCAGGGAAGGAACTGATTCTGCAAGCTCTCCAAAAAGGATGAGGGGTCTCCCAGTATGACTCATGGGAAGGGACTGTGGGCTGCAGCAAGAGCTCTGAATGGTGCAGTGGAGACCACATCCCTTCTCATGCCACCCCCACAGCTGCCCCCTCCAGCCTGCCCTCATGGGCAGACCACACTCATAAAACAGGTCAGATGCAGTTCTCTGGAGCCCTGGCTCAGGTGCCTTGGACAGACACATGCCCCTCCACACCCTACAGTCTGTGTACACTCTATCCTTTTCCAGTCCTCAAGGTGGCTCTCTCCCACCTCTTTGAACATCACATCCGTGGCCCCTACATGCCCCCTGCCGCATGCCCACAGACCACTGGCACTCTGTCCCCAACCCGACCTGAAGGCTGGTGCACAGCAGGACCTCAATAACCCCAAGGAGTGGTCAGAAAAACCCTGGGTATCTCTAACACAGCTCAAAGGGTACATCTATGGAAATACAAAAAGCGCTGTCAGTGCTGCTGAAAAATACACTGAGGTTCTCAGCCATCCCCCAAATGCCCAGTTTAATCCAAGTCATGTTGCCTAACATGCCCAAGGCCCTGGGTTCCATCCCAAGCACCAGAGGGAAAAAATTAAACACCCAAAAAACACAACATAGTAATTTTAAAATCTGAGTTAAATGGTACTGCTGATTTCAACATCCAACAGAAAATCCTACAAAAGTCAGACTCAGATCAAATCTGAGGAGCCTGCTAGTTTTAACCCTGCATAGAAGAACTCATCTGTTAGAAAGGGCTTTCCACTTTCCACCTACAAACAACATGGTCAGATACATTCTCCCACCACTAACAAACCACAGTACCACCTGAGAGTGCAAAAGAAGGCAAAGTGTCTGAGAACTGCCAAAAGTGAGGAGACCCACAGGTTCCCAGTCTCAGTCCCAAGGCTCCGCACATGCTAGGACAAGCTCCAGCCATGCCAAAGCCAGAGCTGCAGCCAGAGGCAGGAAACCAAAACTGGAACAAGAGGATGTATTTCAAAGACGTCAAAGACGTAAGTCTGTGGCCTTGATCATGATGCTATTGCATAGTCCACTTCTTCATGGGGTGCAGCGATTCAGAAACTCCAGCAACCACAGGGATCTTCTTTCTTCCCCCACAGAAAGGCACAGAGTCTCAGGGGAACTAAGAATCTGCATCACTCCAGAGAACTTAAGGTAAAGCACACACATCAGAGCAGAGGATAAAGCCCACATTTTTTATGAGAACCATAGTTGGGCAAGAAGATACAGTCCCCCAAACAGAATTTCCCAAAGTAAGTGCTGGAACACTGGTGTGGGCATGTAAGGGAGCAATGGTTTCTAGAACTTTCCTCTCATACCAGCAGCCAAGAGGGAGCCTGAGCACAGAAAGTGATGGCAACGTGAGAGAATCAGCTCAAATTCCCTGGCTTGTGGTGCATTCTAAGCACCATGCACTAAGTGGGTCCCTAAGTTCCTGGAGGCTGGTCTAAGACCTCTGATGAAGCACAGAGCACCACAGCTGAGCAGCCGCCCCAGAAACACAGACCACAGGGACAGAGTGGCCCAATTTCCCTAATTTGAAGAACCCCACATAAGGACAGTGCTGGGAAGTTCACTATTGACATTTAATTCGGTTTAACAGTGTTTGTAAATAAAACATCTCCAGACAATAACCAGAAACGCACGCTTTGTGGTGTTTCTCTGCACCTGTGGAGCAGTGCTACCACTGTACCTGGCTTGCCTTTGATGTCTGTGCTACTTGTGACCAAGGGACCTGGGAAGCCACAGGCCATGGGACAACCTGACCCCGGTATGATTCAAGTGGGGATACAATGTCAAGGGGACAAGTGCCCCCATGTAACAGCCAACCAGTCCCAGTCAGAAAGGGGAGGGGACTGAGGCCTGAGTACCAGGACAACCTATGTTCCAGTAAGAGCAGCTAAACCTGAACAAAAGTTATCTACGCAAAACAAAACTCTTACATGCAGGATACTGTCAGTGAGAGGCTTAATTAAATGCTGTCCCCAGGCAGGCCTCAGGCAAGATTGAATTTTGGATTTCTAGACATTCCAGTGAGGTATTCCACTACTCTAAAGAGAAATCCACAATAACCCCTCTTCCCTTCAGTAAAGGATATGGAAACAATCACAAGCTTTTTAGGGGACACAGTGTTAAATTCCTGCTTATATCTAAAAAGCTTTTGCCTAAATATTCCCATTATTCACCTAATCTTCTCGGTAATAACAAGATTGGGACCTCAAAGTTTTCAAAATATCTAATACTATCACAAAGTTATGACAAATGTAAGAATCCTATGATAAAATACTACCGTTTGCGTCTATATGTCTCCTTTTGATGAACAAACTATTTTCCACTCTTGCTGAGTGGAAATACTGCCTTACACTGGTAAAGCGAAGGCCAGCAACAGAGTGGATCCACCAGTGTTACCAAACACGGAAAGTTAGCCTCGACGACAGAGCCTTCGGGGAAACACTCTGCAACTGTACCACTCTGATCCACAGGAGCACTCCAGGCACAGGTGTCCGCACCGGCTGCTAGTGAAACGTTTCCTAATTAGCATTTCTTTAAACAATGCAGATAACAATCTTGCCAGTATAACCCTCGCCAAGAGCTCCGCTGAGATTGTAGCGCCAATGCCACTGAAATTCCCTAAGAATCTCAGTCAAACTTTCTTTTGTTTATATTTCTTCGAGGTAAGAAATTACCTGTTCTGCGCCCCATTTGGCTTGCCCTCAGGCTCCACAGTCCAGCCCTATTGTATACAGTTCTTTTTAATCCTTCAAACAGTGGAATTCTTGGAGGAACGGGGGAACCCCAATTGGCCAGAGCCCTCCCTCTGGCGCAGAAAATTCCCCATTTGCCCTCAGGATTGAGTTGTCAGACACTGTCTTGCGCTACCCGGTGAAACTGACATGTCTATTTACAGGGAAACAAAGACGCGGCTCGCAGCGGACCCCGCTCCCTCCGCGCTCCCCGTGCGCTCCGCGCGCCGCGTCTTCTCTGCGCGCCCCTTGCCGCCCGGCGCCAGGGCCCTGCGTCCGGGTTCGGCCCGTGATTAAAATGGAGACTGGGCCGGCGTCCGGCTTCTGGGAAGACAATGACCCCCAAGGCCCCGCAGGGCGCGGAGACCTGCCTGCGCCCACCTCCCGCAGTTCCGACTCTTGGCAAACTCGGCGCGGGCGGGTCCGGGTGCGGCTCCGCGGCGCGGGTGGAGGACGAGAGGAGCGGCGCGGGCGGGGGGCGCGGGACGCCCCCGGGTTGCCTCCCGGGGCCGGGCGTTGACGCAGCAGAAATTACCAGCTGGAAAATTCCCCTTTCGGAGGTGACGGGGGAGGGACCGCGGCGGCAGGAGGTGCCGGGGCCGAGGGGCCGGGCAGCCCGCGGCCGCCGCCACCTCCGCGCTCAGCCCCGCGGGGATCCGCGCCCCCCGCCGCCCCGCCCACGCCACTCGGGTCGGGACCCGCGGCCGGGGTCCGCGCGCCGCCCCTAGTCTCCGCCGGGCGCCCATCGCCCCCGGTAGGGCGCCCCCGCGGGGCGGGGCGTGGCGGGCGGTGGGGCGGGGGCGCGCCAGGATCGGAGCGGCCGGGCTACAGCGGCCCGGCCCGGCCCGGCCCCGCCACGGTACGCCGGCCCGGCCGCGCGGACAATGAGCCGGCGCCGCTTACCTGTGACCCCATGGGGCGCGGGCGGGCGCCGGGGCCGCCGGACCCGCGCCGGTGATAGCCGCTGCCGCGGGCGAGCGCTACGTGCGGGCGGGTCCGAGCTGCGTGCTCGCCGGGGCTGCTCGGTCCGCCCGCCGGTCCGTCC